CACAATTGCACCCATCCGCTACCAACTCAACCCAATCCAAAAAGTGTATGAGTGAATTGCGACTCGATATTGTACCAATTTGTTAGTAATGGGGTGGATCATTTTAAGACGAAAACTCACCCAACCCACCATTTCGCACCCCTTTGCTTGACCAATGAGACAAAAGACCTTGCAAATGAAGAATTGGTTTAATTTACTTGACTCTATTCAACTTAACTGATACAGTAACACACAGAAATCATGAAATACTCTTCTTTGGATTTGTTGTGTTGTCACCCTATATAATTCTCTTCTTTATGTATTTGGATGGCATTTCTAGAGTCATTTATAGGGGTTTTATTGTGGGTTTTCTGTCATAATATTTCAAAATTAGATAGTTTGACAAATTTCTTACATGGGAAAAGAAGCTAAAATGAGACAGTTGCAGAGTGATAACTTTTGAAATTGTCAAATATCTTGTTTGGAAAGGAAGCTCAAATGAGATATTTGGAGTATAACACATTTTGAATGTCTCAATAGTGAATTTTTTAAAATAGTTGCTCTTCCCTTCAGGTTTTTTTATATAGCTGAACATCATTTTAACTTTACTTAAATCATCTTAATTTAACCTATATAACCTTATGTATTTTTTGTTCTTAGAAAAATACACATACAAACAAATAATACAATAAAGAGTACTCTCTCTACCACTGCTGCCGCTACTGATTGTTAGCTATCGATCACCACCAGCAAAACTGAATTTACAATGATGGCGGTGAAGAGAAAGGGAAAGCAGACTTCAGGCTTGCTTGAAGGAGGAGGGACAATTGATGAAGAACATTTAGGGCTCGTTTGCCCACGGAATTATCTCCCCTAAAATCTTGAAACAAATAATGTATTTTGTTCCAAGTCCATGAGATTTGAGTTTTGTGCACCAAATCTATGATAAAAACCCTTAAACAAATAAGACCTTAGTAATTTATACTTTTGAGTTAGAACGATTATAATAAAACTAGAGCAATATTTAGTCGTGTAATTTTTAAATGCCTTAATTTTAGGTTTCCTATTCCAATTTGCTTAAAACCGACGCTATCCCTCCTAAATTTTTTTTCTTCCTCTTCTCCTATCTTTTGACTTATATGGTTTTTCAACATCTCATATTTTTCCAAGAAGGGAGCGGATAGAATAACAACACTCATTTTGTTGTTACTACAAGTTGAATTATAACCCAAAAAGCAACGAATTAAATCATGAGTCCCTAGTCTCTGCTTTCTTCTACATATTCTGTTATGCCGGATCTCTCTATTCTTCCCAACAATTGCAGTGGCGGCGTCACAAGAAAATTGAGTTCATCGCCACTCTCTTCAACCTCCGACAGAGCTCTCTCACATAACTCGTCTCTCCTCCTCCGCCTCGCTTTTTTGTTGCCATTTTTCTTCATCGACAAAAAATCTAGATGGTGAAGAAGAGGGCAGTAGTCCTCGGAGCTCGAATCAGGTTTTGAGCACCGCTGCGGCTTCGCATGCCCGAAATGGACCTTGCCAAATCTCCACCACTTCCTGTTCTGACTCCTCGACGCCAAAAAGCATACAAAAAACTTTCTAATGCGGGCCACAAATCACCTAAAATATACTAGAAACCCCGCAAAGCAAACCACAAAATATTTCATATGCACACCAGAAACCTCATAATGCAAACCAGAAACACGATAAACCAAACCACAAAAAGCAAACCAGAAACGTCATAATGCAGACCACAAATCTATTAAAACAAACCAGAAACCTCGCAAGCAAACCACAAAATTTTTGAAAGCACACCAGAAACTTCTTCATACAAACCAAAACTACGATAAAGCAAACCACAAAAGACATATAAAAAACACAAAAAACCAAATTATAAATCTCATAATGCAGACCATAACATCTGGTTGACTGTTGGCCAGTTAACAAAGATGGTTGACCAAACTCTGATGACCGTCGGGTGACCAGATTTCGACGTCGATAAGCATATTTCGGCCGTGATGACTAGATTCCGACGCCTATAAGAATATTCCGATCACGGTGATTTGATTCCGGCGGTGGTGAGCATATTTCGGCCACGGTGGGAGGATTCCGCCGACAAAAAGCATATTCAGGTGACCGACGACCAAAATTTTGGACAAAAATTTAAAAAAAATTATAAATAGTTTTTTAATTTTTAATTTTTTATTATTGTTTAAACATGGTATTCATAATGATAATTATACCCTTGCTTTAATTTTATACTAGGTCAACCTAACTAATAAAAAGTTATCACAACCCTAACTTTCTATTGGTTGAAGACTAGTGTTGTCTTGTCACCCTACCAACAAAAGGACTGTTGTTATACTAACTAGTCCCCTCCAAGAACGGTTTCAGTGAACAATTTTGTTGTGAATATCTATGCATAACCCTTGCTACATTATCATTTATGAAAGGCCTCTAACTAGTTTCCCTATAATTTTAACAGATTAATATTCTTTTGTTCTAAGTCATAATTTAATTTGTTTTGCACAGATTAATCAGATAAATTGTGTTCTTCAAAATGATATCCACTTTGAAATATTTTGAAACAAAATATTGACACATTTATTACTAGTCTATACCATAGTGGTAATGTTTGGTACTACATAAGATCATACTACGTGGTATGGAAGTGTACCATGATGGTATGAACATATCATAGTGTAGAATGGTTGAATACATGATAGTAGGAATATACGAACTGTCATTTATCACATTAATCATTTTTTACCACCAGTTACCACCCCTATAAACCAAAGCAGTATATTTTGGTCCTGTATTTTTTCGGATGTTTGTAGATCCAATAGATCACGACACTCATTCCTTCTATGAAATGTTTTTCAAATTTGAGTAAAAAACGAAAGTGGTAACGAGTGGTATGAAATTTTATTTTTATCAAAATATATTTAAAATGTATCTTATTTCGTGGATCACAACAAACTCGTTCCATATGTGCAAAAAAAATTGAATTTCAAGTTAGAACAAAGAAGATAGAGTGGATTAAGAAAAGTAAGGGGGATAAAAAATCATTAATTGTCACCCTTTAGATCTAGGCACTTCAAAACTAAAGGTCTCAATCTGGTTATGCAAGGATACATAACCTAAGGTTAAGCAACCTATCTTAAACCTCTTTCTCCTCATCTGACAGCAAAAATGATGTTGCCTCCACGAGCGTCATCATCATTGGTGGAATTGCTATTGTTGCCATTAACTAACCATCATTCATCTCTCTGAGTGTTACGAGATTGCGTCATCGTAGCATTTCAAAAATTACTGGACTTGCGTATCTTTTCATATTTTTCTTATTAGTTCTTATTTGGTTGTTATTTGTAAATATTAGTTAATTTATTTGTTCTAGTTGGAATAGGATTGGTAATAATGATCTTAGTATTTAATTAATATTTCTGCTAAGGTAAGAAAATGAATCCTAGTGGGAAAAGGATAAGGGAAGCTAAAGTCTAGGGTGAGAAGGAAAAGGATTTGATTGTGTAACTCTATAAACACGTTTACAATTCTTTTTATCCATGGGCGAAGTAGTGTCGAGGTGCATAGCATTCCAGGTCTTGCTCACAACGTTATCGTCCATGTCTTCAAAGGCAAAGGTGTTGCCTAAGAACATGCTTGATTTTGGAGAGACATTCCCAGTAGGCTGCCAGCTTGCCATGACTAGGGATGGCAATGGGTCGGGTTTGGGGCGGGTTTGCTTAAACCATCCCCATACCCATCTTCAAATACCCAAACCCATACCCGCCCCATACCCATGCGGGGGAATGTTTTGCAAATCCATTCCCATACCCGTGGATTTCGGGTACCCATGGGTAATACCCATACCCGTACATCCAACATTATTATACCTAAAACTTACAAGAAAAGTTCTAATTATAACTCTAAACGAACATATTATATCATGAACTCAACAAATCGCGGTCATTTTTTTAATATGGTTCAAAGATTATGATCCTAAAATATCCATTAATACATAATATAGAGTATAATATTTTTCAAATTATTATGTTCTAACTCTGATACATCTACTAAATAATAATTAACTAACATAATCTTGTTGACAAGTGGGAAAGTGAAATAGTGAAATGAGAATTGAGAGAAATGAATTAGATTTTGATTAAGGTGGTCACTCAATTGCATTTCTACTATTTATTTTCTCAAGTTATCCTTATCATCATTGATAGATTATAATTTGATGCACATATTTTTTTTTTATATATGAAGAAGATATCTTGGTGGGGCGGGTATGGGGATGGGTATGGGGCGGGGGAGGCTAAAACCATACCCGCCCCATACCCATCATCAAACTTTTTGCGGGTTTTACCCATACCCGCCCCATACCCGGTCAAAGCGGGGATTCCCCGCGTTGACTGAGTCGGGTGCGGTCGGATACCCGCGGCCATGGGTTTGATTGCCAACCCTAGCCATGACCAGTTTCGACGAACACCCTCCACGGTCACCACCTTTGGGTGTGATGTCGTAGTCGGGCCAAACCCCGGGACCTCCGTCAGTTGTCCGGGCAAAGGCGGGTACCTCCGCGAACACCATGACAACGATGAGGATCGAACCTAGAACCTCTCTATCACCCGTCAACCTCCCTTACAACCAGGCAATGTGACATTTGGCAACGAAAATTCTCGCTTTATTACAAATTGAATTTTTTTATAACAAAGTAAAATTATGTGACCATTTTATAGAAATGCCCCATTTATTGGCAAGATTCGGACAACTATCCGAAGTTTTACTTTTTTACAAACCTCCTAATTCGCAGATTTATGAGCCTCCATTCGTTTTCTTCAAGCTACCTACCTCCAGCTCATCAGTTACCACTGTGATCGATTAGATTGACGGGACCACCTTCGATGATCCGACGGCCTGCTCTGCTCCGACCATTCTACCGACTCTAAAAGTAAAAACTCACCTACAAAATATAAATCGGAAATTTCAAAATTAAGTAAAAAGAAAATTAAGAGACAAAAATGACGTTATCGCTCTCAGCCCCTCTCTTCCTACCTCTGGAGAAAAAGAAGGGGCCATTAGATAGAGCTGTCAACAATAATGGAGGCGAGAAAAGCTGACGCTAGATTTTCTCGAGGAAATTGCAGAAGAAGATGAAAATGAAAGTGAGCTTCTTCGATAAACCCCTTTCTCTTTTAACCCTCTTTTTCTCCCCTTTCATTCATTTTCTTCAATTGCCTGCACAAATCGGGTAATCTGTCTCATGTGTAGCTTTTATTTCTTCGTCCTTCCTGTTTTGTGCCCCCTTCACTGGAATTGATGATTATGATCCTCGTACCGTAATTTTGCAGAAATTTGTAAAAGATGTGAACTTTATGTCTTTATGTGCAATTGATGTTATGGGTTTTGTAGGGGCATCGTTTAAATTAGGGTTATGGTTATATGTCTACATCGTTCAGAATTGTAGCTTCCTTTAATGGGGATTCCCTTGTTCTCCCTTCCTTTCGCATCCTGAACTTGGTCTGCATCGTTCCCCCAGAATTTGTTTGGTCTCTTAGTTTTGACCATGGGGGAAAAAAGAAATCAATTTTCTAGTTTTCTTCATATGACAAATTACCCGCCTGTTTATGGTTTGGTATCTGCTAAATCTGTTGATGAGACATTTAATGGGGTTCTGATGAGAAATTTTATCTTATTCTGCCAGCCTACATAGAGAACTGACGGCATAATTTGATTTCGAGTTGCCAAGCGATTGAAGCTTGGTTATCTTCTCAATTCCAGATTGCTCAACGGGGAGCCATCTTATCTGTTAGACTTGCAAGAAGGCTCCTACTTTTATGGGATTTCTTGTCTCTACTGCAATTCAGAGTTAGTTGGGGTAGAGACTTTAGATGGATGTCACCTCTTCCGATCCAATCAGCATCTCCCAAACCGATCATTCCCCTTTGCTTATGGACCGTGCCGAAATGCATCATCACGACCATGAGCACGTCATAATAGACATTTCAAGAAATAACACGGCTTCTTCATCAACGTCATCATCTCGTGATGATCTCCATCATGAACATGAATCACATCATGAAGACAGAACTTCCAACATTGCCGCAGAAGAAGTTCCCAATTACCAGCCTTCTTCAACTCCGTCAACTAGGTTAAACTCTAGGAACTCAACATTCTCGAGGAGAGGTGATTCGTATGGCCGGCGAAGAAGGAGTCCTTTGAATTCCGGGTTATGGATCTCCGTTGAGTTGCTTATTACAGTAGGCCAGATTGTGGCTTCTGTTGTTGTCTTGTCGCTCTCGAGAAATGAACACCCGCAAGCCCCATTATTTGCTTGGGTTGTGGGTTATGCGTCGGGTTGTGTTGCCACCCTTCCTATCCTATACTGGCGGTTTCGTACTCGTAATCAAGGTATACTGCAAGATCCCCTACAAGGACGTGAAGGCAGTTCACCAGCTGGGCTTCCTGATTCTGCACCGTATACTGCTATCTCTATTAGTCAGGATGAGATGAATGAACGGGGTAATCAAATGCCGGGGAATCTAACTACAAGGTAATGTGTCTTCCACTTAAGTTATGTTATCCTCGATAAGGTTTTGCAGTAAGATATTTGGTTACTGGCCTTGTAAGTAAAACTGATTCAAGCACGTCATATATTTGTAAAATGATAATGTTATTATCTGATCGACGTTCTAAAATATTTAGTTTGACTAGCTTACGATTTGGAATGCCAATGGGAATATTTTAGGATAAAATCAAAAGCTGTAGTCTGTTGTACCTCTTGTGCCCGTTAGACCTTAAAGCTTTCATTTGTACAGTTTAATGGTTTACTCAGATTTTGAAAACTACTCTGGACACTCCAAACTAAGCTGTGCATCGTAGCGGGAATTGTCTACCGTGCAGACCCACCTTTTATCTGCATGGTTCGCTAACCCCATCTCAGGGTAGTTTGATCAGAATTACTCATGCCAATAGCATCAACTGTGTTACGATGAAACAATTAAGTGGACCCGGAAGCAATTCACGAAGTGGGTAATATGAGTACATTACTTGAAAGAGATTTCTCGATTAGATAGATAGTAGTAGGCTAGTAGCTCTTTTTGTCTTGCTGTTACACCAACTAGAAAGTTCTTAGTTTGACATGCAAGGCTGATGGCCTTTGATCCTTTTATCATTTTAGTGCTCTCACTAACTTAATATATTGCTTCTGATTTTACAGAATCAATAATGTAATGGATCATCTGAAGATGGCATTAGATTGCTTCTTTGCAGTGTGGTTTGTTGTTGGGAACGTATGGATATTTGGAGGTCATGCAAGTCCAGATGATGCACCCAAATTGTACAAGTATGTCTTTAATGCACGTGTCTTCTCTTTGTTCAACTTGCCTACAAGCTTAAGCTGACCACGTTTTGTTTCCCTCTTCCCTTTGCAGATTGTGTATAGTTTTCCTTACTTTTAGCTGTATAGGATATGCAATGCCGTTTATATTATGCGCAACAATCTGTTGCTGCTTGCCCTGCATCATTTCTCTCCTTGGCTACCGGGAAGAGTTTTCTCAAACTAGAGGAGCCACCACCGAGTGTATAAATAGTCTGCCAACGTACAAGTTCAAGTCGAAGAATGGTGGAGGCGGATTTCGAGATCACGACAGCTCTGAGAAGGAGGAAGGAGGGGTCTTGGCTGCCGGGACAGAGAAGGAGCGTATGATATCTGGTGAAGATGCTGTAAGTTTTACTCGACTCTTTTAGATGCGCAAGTAGATGGCTGGAAAACAAATAAATAATAGGTTTTGAAATCCATTGTTTGGCTGATAGATTTTTGGCACCCCCTACCCTGAAAAGTTGTTCTTATAAACTTGGGAGGAAGTTGCATTTGATTTTCATCCTTGTTTGATTAAACTGAGTATTGGTTCCACGAATGCATTCCAGGTGTGCTGCATATGCTTAAACAATTATGACGACGACGACGAACTGAGGGAACTACCCTGTGCCCATGTATTCCATGTAGAGTGTGTGGATAAGTGGCTGAAGATCAATGCTTGTTGTCCACTGTGTAAAAATGAGATTTGTGAAGGTGGGGATGATGGTTCCTCTCCCACGGCGCGAGATGCTAGCAGCAACCAGCATTGATTTAAAGGTATGAAGGAGAGAAACAGATGTATGTAGCAGAAAGTTGCAGAGGATTTGGTCGCAACTTAGCACCATCTTCTTCTGTTTGAGATCTTTTTTTCTTGGTGAACTTTTCTTATATGTTCTTTGGCGTCCTTCGTTGTCATTGAGCGAAGCAAAGGGCTAGAAGAAGCTATAAGTTTTGCAGTGGGTGTGGGGGGTGAGCTAAGTATAGAATTGTACCATAATTTAGGTAACCATGGCTGCCTCAATCCATTTGACACGGATTTTTTTTTTCAATCATTTTGTGAACGGAAAATGTTGCACGCGTATCCATTCAGATATGAAACGGCCGATAAGTATGGATAAATTATTAAATTGTTAAAAACTTAAAATTATGGTTAGTTATACCTGTCAGGCTGTCACCAGGTCTCTGCTCGAATCTTGAGTGGCTGCCCAGTGCCCACGAAACTTGCTTGATTTACAGAAACCAAAATTATTATTTCCCCATTTTTTCGTTGAATTTATGCTCCTGTTTTTAGAAACCAAAATTCGATATTACCAAAAAATAAAAATAAAAACCAAAATTCGACAATTAATATAGCAAGACTTGGTTACTGTACAAACCTCACTTCTATAAATTTTATAAAATTTCAGTCAAATCAGCTTGATGGTGATATTATCGTATTAGGGTAGTATGACCGAGGAAAATCATTAGGGCTAAACTTTTAGGTTAGAGTAGTGATTTGAATATGTTCATCTGAATCATTTTCTAGTTGAATACAATCTTATTATAAAATAAAACTAGGCCGAATGTCTAAAATCAAAAAGTTTACAAGTGCTATACTAGCTCCGGATCCAGAAAAAGGATGGGGCATGGCTCGGGGTGGCCACCCCCTAGATCCGCCACTGCTCGAGGCCAAATGGATTTTACTGCATCAGGCTCCTTGCAGTCAGTGGCGTAGCCAGTAAGGTGGGTCCGAATTTCTTTTATATCCACGTGGCTCATCGAGTCTAAAACCTGATATATTAAATTCATTATTAGGATAAAAAGGATCTAGTGAGTTTCAACAAAAGGTAGGGATGGGCATTCGGTCAGCTTGGTTCGAACGAACCGAAATTATGAATACCGGATCCCCGAATACTCTCAAACCGAATTCGGACCGAATTATAATTCGGTTCATCGGTTTAAACTGAATTATAATTCGGTTCGAATTCGGTTTTTCACAAAAAATCGAATTTGTGAGACTACTTGTATCTTCTCACTTTTAAATTATTTTCACCCCTAATATAAACAATTAATATGCAATTATATGCATCATCAATGATAAAATCAAACTTTTCAACACATAAGTCATAAACCATTTCAAATATTTAAGTCTAAAAACAACTACAAACACAAAAATCCACCATTTGGAGGTTGCAATTATAGTATTTCGGTTTTTTGGTCGGAAATTCAAAATTTTGGTTCGGTTGAAAGAGCCCTGATTTCCGAAATATCCATATTTTCCTTCCGAATTCCGAACCGAATAACATTATTCCTGTTTCGGTTCTGTTTAATTTGGTTTCGGTTCGGTTCTGGTTTACCGAACCGTTTGCCCACCCCTAACAAAAGGAGGCTTTGGCGATAGATAATGGATGAATTAAGGATTTGAAGTTTGGAGGATGAAGTTATATTTTGTGATAATATTATTTATGTAGAAACTAAAATGTATATATATAATGATGATAGCTAAATTCATGATATAATTATTGTTTGATGGTAGAAATATTGATCAATACTGATGAGATTTAGGTGAAAAATCTCACCGTCACTTAATTATTATATTAAGGAGTGAAAAATCGTAGCGTACTGGTGGTCGATCAGAAAAATCTCATACTGAAAGCGAAATTGATAAAAGATATTAGCGATATGAAATGGTTAAACCATATTTTCAGCATAAAATATCCTACTATTGACTTGTCTGGTACAACCTTCTACCACTGTTAACCTAGACGTACATATTTTCTCCTGAACCAAGATGGGTCCCGGAACCCACCTTGGTATGCACTGCCTCCGCCACTGCTTGCAATTCTTTGTTGCTAGCATAGTCAATTGTGGATGATGAGTCTAGAGGTGGTAAATGGTTGGATCCATGGATTGATGAATTGAATTGCTAGATTCATGGATCAAATGATTGGTGGATCCATAGACTGGATTGGTGGATTGGATCATGGATCCAAAGTGACATCTAAATATTGGACCAATATGTAAATTTTGAAAAGTTTAGGTACTAAAGTGGCATACTAAAAATTCAGGCATCAAAATATAATTGTTCAATGATATTTTTCGTAAAAAAAATAAAGGTATCAAATTATAACTTGTCACCAATCTATGAATCTATCAATTTAATTGGATTTGGATCAAATGAATTAAATTTAAATTAATTGGATTAGTTGAATATTAAGTGGATTTGATACAAAATTGCAATTGTAATGAATATCATGGTGCGGGGTTGAGTTGGGTGATTCAAGATGCTGCAGGTTGGGTGCTTGTAAGTTGTATGTGCGGCTAGACGGTATGAGGGGATGGATGATCCATTTTTGGAATTATAGTTTTGCAGGACGCTGTGTGCAAATAGAGGGTGAACCTCGGTTACTTTTCTTGGTGATGCTCATGTGACTGATTGGCCAAGATAGCTATTTAGAAGAGTGATTAAGTGAATGACCGCTGATTTGATTGTTATTCTAAGTGGTTTCTCATAATTTACGTGATAAGAAAGTTGTTCTGTGGTTGCATCAATCACAATTCATTCTCTGCCCAGAAAGATTCAATCGTAGGTAACACTCTGAGATCCAGTGTTCTCCCTACTCTAGTTAGTTTTTGTTTCATTCTCAGTATAGTTAGTTGAAGGACAAATACACTTGTATAGCAAAAACTTTCGAGGTTTTGTCAATAATAATTAATTTTGGAGAAATACCACTTATAGCCACTTCCGTCCAATTCTTTAACGGTGTCAACTAATAGGCTGACTGGACATACGGAAAAGCTGAGTTGGCGAGTTTCTCTATTAACAATTCCAGGGTGGATTAATTTTATAAGATTAAAATTAAAATTAAAGTGGAACCGAAAAGTCTCCACCCACCGCCCATTTTCACTTTCCCCTTCTCTCTCTTTGCTTCTCTCTCTTCAGTGACGCATCCCTAATTTTCCGATCCAAACCACCACTGCCCCTCATTCCCCCACATGGCCACGATGCCGCTTCCCTCTTTTCTCTCGGGCTTGCCTAGCCACAATGCCCTCCTCTCCGACGAGAACTTCATCGTCCCGGTCGCCAGACAGAGGCTATTCAATAAAGATGGCGACGAGCTCCTCAAGGACGCGTCGTTCCAATCGTAGAAGTTGGAAGTAGTGGAGAAGAGGGAGAGGTGAATCCATCTTCCTCACCATCGGAGACTCAACCACAGCAGCAATATTCAACCCGCCACCACCCCCAATCCCATGGGAATTCACAAGCATATCTGATGATGCGTACCCTTTAGCAGGAAGTGGAGAATCAAATCCCTAATTCTCATTCCGCCGCCAGAGATTTCGAGCCCGGAGAATCAACAACCCAGATTTGGTCCAGACTCTTACTTGGACAAGCGAATCGGTACTCTGTTCCAGCAATCGATCCATTATTTTGCCAGCAGCATTGAGGAATTCGATCCTGACGCTTCTGGCGCTGGCGACGACTTGCTCGATTCAGGAGCGCAAAGTAGGGTTTTACCCGCCGCCGGTCGATGGGAGACTTAAGTTGTGAAAAATGAAACGACGACGACGATTTCCTCAAATCAATCGCGAAGAAGAAGGCGGCGTTTGTGCAGGAAAGAAGAAGGCGGAGATTTTAGTCTTTTTCTTTCATTTTTTCCAGATCTATCATCTATACCAGCGTTTGTGCAGGAAAGAAGAATGCTGAAATTTGTTTTTTGCCCTCACAGTGGGTTTTTACTTTTTACAAGTCAGGGATATGATGGGTGTAGATGTGATTGATTTTTAGAGAAAAAGAAGATGGATTTGGAGTGATGAATCTACCAGCAACCCGATTCAGGGGCGAGGATTGTATCTACTTCGACCTCTGATTTTGTTTTTGGCAGGGGCGAGGAATCGACGGTGACGACGGAGCAGAGAACGCCGGAAGTAGCCGGATTCTTGTCGCAAGAAGGGAGATTAAATGAGATTCAACATACAAAATATATATATTTTTTAATTTTAAAATGTGGCATGGCGTATGTGTCGTCTAGGTGGCAGCCACATCAACTTAACGTCTATTTAACTGACGGAATTGTTAACGGTGTTAAAGTATTTGACGGAAATGGCTAAATTTGTCAAACAAGTTTTAAAAATGTGGCTATAAGTGGTATTTCTCCAAAATTGACTATTATTGACAAAACCTCGAAAGTTTTGGTTATACAAGTGTATTTTGCCTTAGTTTAATTGGTTTTTAAATCAACCCTTCCTGATTGATTATATAGTATTTCAAAACGAAGTAGTAGTACATATAAGACCACAGTGATGCGATTTTGAAGTCACTATACTACTATATAGTATATACTTGACTTGATTAGGCGTAATAGAATAGTAAGACATCGAATTGTATATATAGTTTGATCCTTGTCTAAACATTAAACTAGTTATCCAAAAATGTTCTAGAAAATCTTCTTGTCACTTTAGTAGGCAACTCAATTAGTAGGGGTGCGAAACGTTGCAGTTAACCGCACTGAATAACGCGGTTAACCACAACCGCATAAGGAAAAATTCACCAATCGCGACCGCACCGCAAACAGTTTGCGATTAGCGGTTAGTTGTGATTAACTGCAATACTAACCATAAAATCTTATTAAGGTTTACATGGTGCATGCAATTAACCACACAATTACCAAAATATCACAAAATATTAGTAACATGCACTTGTAAAATTAACACCAAAACAAGAAAAATGTACTTGAAAAGGTTTGAAAAATAACATTCATATTATAATCTCAAATAAACCATCCAAATTAAATTCAAAACAAACACAATATCAGTATCCTCAATTCATTCTCATTGGGGTAGTCTCCACTTGTGCTTGGAGATGGGCATATATTAGACTTTAGCAAAATGTGGCTTGGTTTGCGGTTAGTTATGCGGTTAGATTGTGATTTGATACGGTTAGCGGTTAGTCTACAACCCGCAAAGTGCCCGATTACACTAATCGCGACCGCATAAAACCCTCTTCAATCTATTTTTGGTTAATTGCCAACCGGTTTTATTCGATAAGGTCTGGGGACCCACCCAATTAAACTCTGGCTCCGTCTCTGCTCATTGAGATATGAATGTCTTCCTAGATAGAACCCGGGATGAAACCTCAGTGTGGACGGTGGGTAGTACCCATTGAAAGGAGCTACGGGCTTAATGCCCCAGATACGATAGGCTAGATCAAGATGACTATAAATGAGTTTAGGGGAGGCGTTCTCGGAGGGGTGTGGATAACCACGAAAGGCCACGGAAAAGAGCTCACTCACCACATTCGACAAACACTAAGTATCTAGACATTATATATTAGTCTTGATCTAGGGTGAGGGATAGTTCCCTGGAGTACCTGCTTTTGTCTTTATATATCCTCTTACTTAGTAAGTTCACTCATATCCTCCACAAAAAATCCTTAAACTGTTTGACTAGATAACAACGTGAAAAGTAGACTAGGTACCTGGACCTGAATGAAAAACGACATTTATTGTCGCTATTTTAGATTAAACTTGGTTTTAAGATGAGGTAGTTGTTGAGACGTGCTAAACATTGACAATAAGTTGGATGAAATCGATCAATGTTGAAGAGGTGAGCCTATTCAAAAATCAAAGGCCTTTCTTTTTAGACGACTACTGAAATGGGAAGAGAGAAGGAAGTTCCAGGTCGAGATAGTCACCTCAGTCCACAGGTAAGCCGCCCACAGTAAGCTGAAAATTCTAATGGAAAGGATCAAAAATGTCATTCTTTTCTCTTTATCCTGACAAAAAACAAACATTTTCAGAAGAAGGGAAAAAGGACCAAGAGCGAACATCTGTCCGCAGCTCCCTCCTGCCCTGTTCTTCAGCAGTACTTCATCAATCAATCTCCTACTCTTACTGTTTTTCCAGGATCATATCACTTTGGAAATGTCCGGCCATGCTCAGTGCTTCAATAACCCACCAATCCTAAACCCCAGCTACAGTGCGGGTGAAGTTGAGTGATAGAGCTCTAGGTCAAGCTCTATCGGACAATTGGGGATCGGGGATCAACTAGGGATTGATCCGGGAGATTGGGAGATAGATGATAGAAGAATAGAGGGGATTTGAGATGAGAAGGAGGGAGGGAGGGGGCTGCTGCCGCTGGGCAGCTTGGAAGAGAGGGGGAAAGGGGTCGGCAATCACAGAGGGAAGAGAGGAGGAGGGAGAACAACTAGGAATTAGGTTTATTCTTGCTTGCCATTCTCTACGTAAACAATAGCCTAAATACCCAAAACACAATTACCTACTAACTCCCCCAAATTATTAATCCCCCACAATATTCCCAATACCCAAAATAATCCGAACTAAATAATTCAAACCGACATAAACCGAAATAATTAAAATGTCTATCATTCCCTTCCTCTTCAAAACAACCTTGTCCTCAAGGTTGGTAGCCTTCTCCTGCGTCTTCCCCGTCTCTCGCTTCATCTTCCGCCTCGTCCTCCCACCTCCCTACCAGCATCATCAAGTCCGGACGTGCACACTTGTGGCCAATCGTGAACCTCTCGTCGCAGTTGAAGCACTTCCCTTCCCGCCGCTTCTGCTCGATCTCAGCAGGGGACAGTCGCACAAACCCCTTGGGCGGAGGTCGTGCCCCACCCTTCACGACAGCTACTGGCGCCTGTGTCGCCGTGGGTCCTCCAGCTCCAACCGCGGTCCCAGGCGCTCCTCCTCCTCCACCGCTGAGTCCGCTACTGCTCCCGGCGCCCCCTGCCCGCGGATTGCGGCCCATGGTGCTCCTCCAACTCGCCAGCTCCTCTTCCTTGAACCCTGCAAGACGAAAAGCAGATTTCACGGAATCCGGCTCAAAGATCCGGACAGCAGCAGCAATCTCCGGCTTCAGGCCGGCCATGCACAACCCCACCAGTGTCTCCTCCGGGACCCCATGGCATTGATTGCCCAATTTAAAGAACTCTGCACGGTAGTCCGCAACAGAGCCAGTCTGCTTCAGCTTAGCCAACTGCTCTGGGGCCCACCCCTCCGATTTTCCAAACTGATAACGCAGCTCCTCCTGGAACAGCGGCCAAGTGATCAGAGTTCCCACCGCCCCATAGGACCTCTCCATCCATTCCCACCACTGCAGCGCTTCTCCCTCTAAGTAGAAGGACGCCAGATGCGCCTTCCTCTCCTCCGGAATGGGGTGGTTTCTGAACCACCTCTCTGCTGCATACAACCACAGCCCTGCATCCTCCTGACCATTGAATTTTGGAAACTCAATGGTCGGGGGTTTGGCTCGAAAGACCATTCCATCAGCTCCATCATAAGCAGGATGATACGAACCATACCTGTCATAACCGGGAGCACCCCCTGGCTGGTCTGGGTAGAACGGAGTCCCCCTTCCTCGCCCAAGGCTGCCTGCGGGCCCTCGCCCCATCGGTCCTGCCCAATTACCTGCACCGTGCGATCCGCGCCACATGTTCGGGTCCATGCTGGCCGATCTAACCAGCCCCGGTGCGAACCGGTTCGGTCCACTGTCGGTTCGACCCGGTTCGGGTCCGCCCCGACCCGACCCACCTCGACCCGACCCGGTCAGCCCCGGGTCGGTCTGACCAGCCGAGCCGCCTCCTCGACCCAGCCCCGGTCCACCCGGCCCAAACCGGCCCTCCTGGCCCGGCCCAAACCTGCCCTCCTGGCCCGGCCCGACCTGCACGATCTGGGCCCCTGTCACGTCCGGGCCCAAATAGTCCCCGCCACCCGCCGGGTCGGCCCATGGTGCGTTCTGGCCCACCAGGCTGAGCTCCTCCTCGATCCGCTCGTGATCCATGGTCAGCCACCCCAGGCCTCTGGGCTCGTGATACTGGCCCACTATGTCGCTCCGGCCCATTGGCCTAGGCGGCCCCTGCCCAGTCGGCGGAGGCCCATTGTCGTACCCTGGCATCTTGGCCTTGCCCTTGCGGGCCGCCAACTCCTGGGCCGTTGGTGTCGGTAGAAGCCCAGGCCCACCGCTGCGCCCTGGCTGACCCTGGCCCACTCGCTCCCCGGCCCCGGGCACCATCTCCGCCGCGTCAACCACCTCGACAGCCGCCGTTGGGGGCGGCGCCTCCGCCACCACCATCGCCCCCGCTGTCGCGCCACCCGCCGCCGCGCCTCCATCCGCCGTCGAGCCTCCCAGCCCGCTCCGGCTTTCGCTCCCATCACCGCCGCCACCACCCTTCGGCCCAGTGGCTTGCGCGGCGGCCAGCGCCTCCACGACCCTCTGCACCTCATCAAACCTCTTCCAAACTCGCCGGGACTCCTCCTCCTGTTCCCGCCGCTGTTCGCCTTGCTCCTGCCGGAGCGCCCGCCATTCCTTGCGCTCCTTCTCGAACTCAGCTACCAGGCGATCCAAAGTAGACTGAATCAGCTCCAGCCTTTCAGTTTCGTCCACCAGCTCACCGTCCCGCGGATCGGTGGCCCCCTGGTTGCCGCCGCCAGCTACCGGCAGCCCGGTCGAGACCGCGGTGGAGGCCTGCTCCGGCGCCGCCGCCTTGGCAGCCTTCTCCGCCGCTGTCATCGATTTTGTGGACACCATTGCACCCTTCTTTCGCTGTTTGTGATCGAACCCAAGAACCGGGCTCTGATACCAAATGATAGAGCTCTAGGTCAAGCTCTATCGGACAATTGGGGATCGGGGATCAACTAGGGATTGATCCGGGAGATTGGGAGATAGATGATAGAAGAATAGAGGGGATTTGAGATGAGAAGGAGGGAGGGAGGGGGCTGCTGCCGCTGGGCAGCTTGGAAGAGAGGGGGAAAGGGGTCGGCAATCACAGAGGGAAGAGAGGAGGAGGGAGAACAACTAGGAATTAGGTTTATTCTTGCTTGCCATTCTCTACGTAAACAATAGCCTAAATACCCAAAACACAATTACCTACTAACTCCCCCAAATTATTAATCCCCCACAATATTCCCAATACCCAAAATAATCCGAACTAAATAATTCAAACCGACATAAACCGAAATAATTAAAATGTCTATCATTGAGGAGCTTGCTGGCTTCCAAACCTACGTTACTGGCTCCCCTGACTCCAACCTCGCCATCCTTCTCATACACGATGCTTTCGGTAAACGAAATCAAGCTATCTGTCTATGCCTATCTATCTAAGCCCTCTCTTTGGATTTCGATTCTCTTCATCAAGTTCTAACCTTTTTCGTTCCTCAATCTTGAACAGGGTATGAAGCACCCAACTTGAGGTATGCGCCCAAAAACTTTGAATTGGGGTATTGTTGAAAAGGCTCTCCTCAGACAGTGGTTTTATTATTGCTTGCCCAATTCGTAGGAAGCTGGCAGACAAAGTTGCGAGCTCTGGATTCTTCGTGGTGGTGCCTGACCTGTTGTATGGCGATCCAGCTGATCTGGGCAACCCTCAATTTGACCCACAAGCCTGGCTGGCTACTCACCCCTCAGTAAGTTCTTAGTCAGAGTCTTCTATGCGATTAGGCTAGTCACTGTGAATTGTAACCAGCTTTTGCTTCACAAGAATTGATTATTGGAAGGATCTATGCAGTCATACACATGTCTTGGCTAATCAGATGCTTGTGTTTTATGACGATGTTTGTGAAATCGTATCTGCAATCATTCTAGTGAAGCTAATGGTTCAAAGATTCACGGTGAAATGCCGACTTTGGTGTTGGTGACAGGACAAAGGATGTGAAGATGCCAAGAAAGTAATTGCAGAGCTTAGAAGCAGAGGATTTTCTGCAATTGGGGCAGCTGGTTTCTGCTGGGGTGGTGAGTTGTTAAAGAATGGAGTTCTTCAAAAACAGTCTCTCTTGTGGGAAAAAGACATGAAAGGTGATGAGGTCTCCTTTTTCTTGTTTGACCAGGGATGGTGTTGGTGAAACTAGCAAGTGGTACTGAACTTCTGGCTGGAGTCATACTCCATCCTGGCCCTATCACAGTTGATGAGATCAATGGTAAAAGAAAATGAAGCCATAGCATTTCGGCCATGGTCGAATTCTTGAATCGTGACACTATTTTTTCGGTTTCCTTCAGCTGTCAGGATTCCAACTGCTATATTGGGTGCTGAGAATGACCATATCTTCCCAGCCGACCAGTTAGAACAGCTTGGACATGTACTGGCAACGAAATCAGGACAAGTATGGCTTTTGTGTCCTCCTTTTACAGATCATTTTTTACCGATACAATTTGGGTAATGATTAAAATCTTCTCTGAACCAATATGTGAACCTTTTGTGGCAATTGTGGATCTTCGCAGTTTGAGAGCTATGTGAAGATATTCCCAGGCGTTTCCCACGGGTGGACGATGAAGTACAAGGAAGATGATGATTCAGCTGTGAAGGTTGCTGAAGAGGCACATCTAGATATGTTGAATTGGTTCCTTAAATATGTTAGGAAATGAGTTTAGTGCCTCATATCTTTGTGTTAAAACTTGTGAAGGTATAGGGTTTAATGAAAACTCAATTCTCTTAGCTTACTAGTTTGGATCCAGTCCTTGGGTCGGAGTAAGGCCAAATGGAAACCCAACGTTCTTAGCTTACTAGCTCAAACCTTGTTCGTTGACCAAAATATTTAGGTTGTTTTTTTTTTAATTATTTGAAGATTTTGTTGCAAATTTGATATTTGACAGTTTTGATTGATCGCGTGTATAAATTTAGTAAGTTTTATACATCTCAATCATGAGTACATGACTGATGAATAATTGTCTCTGTCATTTTATAATCATGACATTGTTCAAAATTGCAATATTTATTTTAGGTTGATTATCTTAGTCAAGATTTTTGTACTTATTTTTCTTATAAAGTTTCAAAAATGTGAAAAATATCTTCTATAGATATGTCAACAAATATATTTTAAAGAAATCATAATTCCTTTCAAAAAATACATGACTACGCGAATTTGAATAAACAAAATACAAGATGCCTTGTGAGCAGCACGGGCGCAGGGGCCGACTTGGCCTAGGGAGTGTAGTTTGGTCACTTATTTGTTATTGGGGAGAGAACTATTTAAGCAGCAAACACTTGTTATTTCGATAAAGCAATAATAATATCAGAAACCCTAAATTCCTAATTCCTCTTCTATCTCTCAATTCTCATCCCAATTCTCCTCAATTCCCAATTCTCAACCCTAATTCTCCTATTCTCATCCCCAATTTTTGTCCGAATTATCCGTGTTTCTCACAATTGGTATCAGAGCCTCGTCGATATGAGTTCTACAAGGCTCACATAGAGGGACCAGGTGGCAACAACCGAGGCCTGACTGCTGAACGTCATTGCGCGGCTCGAGCGCGTGGCCGCAGACCTGCGGCGGGCGGCTGGCGGCTGGCACGGTGGAGGAGCTGGCCGCGGGTTCGGGTTCCTTGGCGGCGACAACAGCGCCGCAGAAGGAGGAAGGCGGCATGGCGGGTCCCCTGATAGCGACAGCAGTGCCGCGGGAGGAGAAGCGGGCCGCGACGGCGAAGAAGGAAGGCAACGCTGGTTTGCGGCAGTAGGCTGGCGCGACGGATGAGCTGGTCGCGGACTCGGCGGCCGTGGCAGCGACCGCAGCATCGCGGGAGAAGGGAGAAGGCGGCACGGGTTTGGAGACCATCTCCGTCGTGGCCGCTGTCGAGACCGCGGGGTCGGCCACAATGCGCTTCAAGGCGCAGGTGGCAGACGAATGGGGCGTGGCTCTCGTTGACAGCGGGGCCTCCCTCAACTTTGTGGGAGAGGAATTCGTGCGTCGATTGCACTTACCCCAGGCAGTTATCGCTCCTTTCGACGTGAAGGTCGCCAATGGAGCGCCGCTACTGTGTGCAGGGAAGCTGGAAGGGGTTCCTGTGAAGATCCAAGGGTTACAGGTTCCTCTCGACTTGTATGTGTTGCCATTACATGGGTTCGACGTGATCCTAGGCATGCCATGGCTTAAGAGCCTAGGCCCGGTGACTAGTGATTGGGTGAAAATGATCATGCGACCGGGCCGGTTGACTGGGGCGATCCGTAGCTGGTGGATGAAGTGGAGTTAGCAGTGCTTTGCTGGCCCCTTGAGCTTGATGGCGGGCAGCCCTTGGCCTCGGACTTGCAGGCTCTGTTGGACCGCTACAAGGGTCTATTCGAGAAGTCGAACCAGCTGCCCCCGCAGTGACAGGTGGACCACCGGATTCGACTCAAGGAGGGAACCGAAGTAGTTAATGTGCGGCCATACAGATACGCGCATGCCCAGAAGGCCGAGATCGAACGCCAGGTAGCTGAGATGATGACCGCAAGCTTGATTCGGGTGAGCTCTAGCCCGTTCTCGTCACCGGTACTGTTGGTAAAGAAGAGGACGGTACATGGAGGTTCTGCACAGACTATCGTGGCCTTAATGCAGTGACAGTTCGCGATCGGATCCCGACCGAAGATGACATGCTAGACGAGCTACGGGGCGCCCAGTACTTCCCCAAGCTCGATCTACAGGCATGGTACCATCAGATACGCATGCATGCCGAGGAAATTTCCAAGACTGCCTTTCGCACACACAGCAGCCATTATGAGTATCTGGTGATTCCCTTTGGACTCCGCAATGCTCCCTCGACGTTCCAGGCACCCATGAACGATATTTTTTGGCCCCTACTGCGCAGGTCAATACTGGTGTTCTTTGATGACATTTTGGTGTTCAGTAACTCGTTGGAGGAACACCTGCAGCAGTTGCAGGAGGTGTTTGAGATATTGCAGGTAAGCCAGTTTTATGTCAAGGCATCCAAGTGTGCCTTTGGAGTTCAGCAGGTGGACTATCTGAGACACGTGATTTCAGGCGAGGGAGTGTGAGTGGACCCGATGAAGATCCAGTCCATGATGGACTGGCTAGTGCCAAAAACGACAACAGAGCTGCGGGGTTTCCTCGTCCTGACAGGGTACTACCGGCGGTTCGTGCAGGGGTACATTTCGATAGCAGGATAGAAAGGGGGTTTCAGTTGGAACCCAGAGGCCGAGAAGGCCTTCGGTGAGCTCAAGGCCACCCTGGCCCCCGGTCATGGCTTTGCCGAACTTCTCTCAGCCCTTTGACATCGAGGTGGACGCGTCAGGTAGGGGCATCGAGGCCGTCTTGTCGCAGGAGAAGCACCCCATTGCATTCGTGAGCCGCACCCTCCCTCCATCCAAGGAGGCCTGGTTGACATACCAGAAGGAAATGCACGCGATCACCGAGGTAGTTCAGATGTGGCGGCCCAACTTGATTGGTCAAAAGATTCGCATCTATACCGACCACCAGAGCCTTAAGCATCTGATGGATCAGCGGATGTCAACTCCAGACCAGCACAAGTGGGTGGTGAAGCTGATGGGATATGAGTACGAACTCCACTATAAACCGGGTCTGACGAACAAGGCTGCGGATGCATTATCGCGAGTGGAGCTAGGGCCACTGGTGGCCGTAGTGATCGGACCAATAATGCAGTTCTGGGATGAGGTCCGGAAGGCAGTGGAGACGAGTCCGTACCTAAGGGAGCGGCGCGACATCGCTCTCAGTACGGCGCCAGGAGGGTACACCTTCCGACACGGGCTGGTTTACTTAAGGGGTCGCGTGGTCCTCCCGGCCGCCACCTCCCTGACCACGAATGTGATGCGGGAATTCCACGATTCCCCTATTGGCGGTCACTCTGGGCACGATCGCACGCTGAAGAAGATCTGCAGCCAGTTCTACTGGCCACTAGGGATGGAAATGGGTCGGGTCGGGGACGAATAGTGCATATCCGTTACCCTACCCAAAGTAGTTCGGGTTTTACCCAAACTCATACCCACATAAGAAACGGGTAGAAGATCCAAACCATGCCATACCCATTCGGGTTTCGGGTATCCACGGTTATCCATGGATAATAGTTTCTCTTTATAACTCTAACCAATATGTTAATATTCACACGTTTTCTCACGTTATGTAAGACAAAAAGTACGACAATAATTCACTAGAATGAAGAAAATTAATTAAAACAACACAATTTCATAAAAATATTATATTTATATGCTAAATATAAAATATGTTAGAAAAAAATATTTATTATTTCTAGACAAAATACATATGCGTGTGTATAATCGGGCGGGTTCGGGTTGGATAGTGAGAAAACCATGCCCACCCATTACCCGTAATATTTGGGTTCGGATTTTACCCGTACAAACTAAAAGTCCTTCGGGTTCGGTTTTTACCCTACCCAATTAGGTCAGATTCGGGCGGATATCCACGGTTACGGATATTTTTGACATCCCTACTGGCCACAGATGGCGCATGAGGTCAAGGATTATGTGGCCTCCTGTGATACCTGTTAGAGCGTCAAGGCTTCCTTGTTACGGCCGACAGGACTACTGCAGCCATTACCCGTACCTGAGTGGGTGTGGGAGGATATCAGCATGGATTTTATAGTGGGGTTACCACCGTCCGGGGGGAAGACAGTGTTGCTAGTGGTGGTTGATCGGTTGACGAAGTATGCACACTTCATGACATTGTCTCATCCCTACACCGTCAGAAGCGTCACGGAGCAGTTCGTTTGGGGTGTCATCTGACACCACGGGTTTCCTCGCTCGATATTAAGCGATTGAGACGCACTTTTCCTGGGCAGGTTCTGGACGGAAGTGTTTTCCATGGCAAAGACGGAGCTGAAGATGAGCTCCTCCTATCACCCGCAGACGGATGGGCAGACGGAGGTGGTCAACAAGATATTAGAGTAGTACTTGAGGTGCTTTGCACATCAACAGACTCGGCGTTGGCTCGCGATGCTACTGTGGGCAGAGCTGTGGTATAATACCACTTACCATCGCTCTATTCAGATGTCTCCGTTCGAGACTCTGTATGGATGGACACCACCCATGCTGGTCTGTTATCAGTCGGGATCGAGCGCGGTGGATGTAGTGGACAGGTGGTTGGCAGAGAGGGATGCAGCTTTGCAGCAGCTAAAGGACACAAGGAGGAGGAATTCGCGGTGGGTGATTGGGTGTTGCTCAGGTTGCAACCTTACCATCAGTCATCCGTGTTCAGGCGAGCCTATCAGAAACTTGCAGCTCGGTATTTTGGACCGTACCAGGTGCTCGAGAGGATTGGGGCGGTCGCGTATCGCGTCGAGCTGCCGGACACTGCCAGGATCCACCCTACATTTCATGTGTCACTCTTATGCATGTACCGGGGAGCATATCCACCTGCGCAGCCACCGGAGCCACTAGTGGATGAGGATGGCGTGTTAGAGCTGGAGCCGGAGGCCGTGCTTGACACTCGCTGGCCGAAGAGGGGCAAGCGCCGCGTGGCAGAGAGTCTCATCTAGTGGAGACACCTCGGACCGGAGGAGGCGACGTGGGAGGACACAGAGACCATTCATCAAAACTATCCTGCTTTCGACCTTGAGGACAAGCTCGGTTCTAAAGGGGAGGGGAGTGTGAGCAGCACGGGCGCAGGAGCCGACTCGACCTAGGGAGGGTAGTTTGGTCACTTATTTTTTATTGGAGAGAGAACTATTTAAACAGCAAACACTTTTTATTTCGATTAAGCAATAGTAAAATCAGAAACCCTCAATCCCTAATTCCTCTTCTATCTCTCAATTCTCATCCCAATTCTCCTCAATTCCCAATTCTCAACCTAATTCTCCTATTCTGATCCCCAATTTCTGTCTGATTATCCGTGTTTCTCACATGCCTTCTATAATTCAAACAAAATACAAGGTGCCTTCTATAACACCCATAGACAGGATGTCATATGAAGGTTCGTACTTTCGCTTGTTCCCTAGC